ACCGTAAATTAATAAGAGCAATTAGACAAGCTGAAGTATCATAAAGCAATGGCAAACTACTGAACGTAAAAGTGCCGTGTAAGATCAGAAACAGCAAAGAAATGCTGTGGTTGGTTCTTCTTGTCAAGGGCACACAACTAAGTTAATGAGAAGGAATTTCAGAATTTGCTGACAACTGCCCCGATTGATAGGAAACAGAGCAAGGGAAAGGTAAAGAAATTAATATGGCTTGGCCATTATGAATCTGGTGAGACAAGAACATTGACTTGATCTAGGATTATGGTGACTGTGAAATGATGAAACATCACAGCCTACGCTTATCGTCCTATCATGTGATAATGAAGAATAAAATTCCCGAGACCCATTTTATTTGACCATGCCAGGTACATCAGCACCCATTTACAATCTGGCACATTAGGTGAAACATTTTAATGAAATAGATCAACACACAGCCTGGCATAACAAGTGAAATGTGTATAATATATTTATGTAAATAAGAAGGCAGAATTACTAGTAGTTTTACAAATGTCTCTTCTCCCTTTAAATGGAAGCACTGGGCACATTGTTACTACCCCCTTTCTATTGTTAGACAAGAGAGTGGTACAAGGCACAATCAAATGAAACATGTCCTTATGACTTTATTAGAAACATATGAAAATTAACAGATTCCAATCACCGCTAGCCGTCTCTTTATTCATGTATAAGACAGATGCCTGCTTTTTCTTTCTCTTAACAAATTTGCAAACAGTCCAGGTAAGTATCCTATAGCTGATATAATTCTGTCACTTTATTATTTTGTTGTTGATGCTACATTTGTTTGACACCATATTTAAGCATTATAATGTAGTCATTTTAGAATCAATTAATTTCTGTGATGTTTTGTTACTTGTTGTCATTCCACTGATGAAGACAACATCCTTTGCTTGCAGTAACTGATTTTTTAAAGCTGAAATTCTTCTTCTTAGAGTCCATGGCGTGTGGCATTGGTAGTCATGTCTATCCACAACCTTCTGTCTCATGTGCTTTCAGTCAACTCTGACACAGATGATCTTCCATGCCATGATGTCAAACTGTCCAGCATCTGTTCTCTCGGTCTCCCTCTGCCTCTCCTCCCCTCCCACTTTCCTACCGTTACAATGTACTCCAGTATTCTCCTTCTCATTACATCTCTGCAACTTCCAAATAAGTTTACACTAATTTACCAACTGTCCATGATTCACATCCATATATCAATATAGGATTTATATAGCTTTTAAGAATTCCCTGTCTTGTCTCAATTAACAAAGATAGACTGAAATATTCATTATTTTGTAAAATGCTGCCTTTGCAAAGGCAGGAAAGCTGACATTTAAGGTATATTTTCCCATCTTTCTATTGTTATAAAGTTATGAAAGGTATATTAGGGGGTGACAGAATTAAACAAAGTTACTGTTTGGAAAAAAGCAGGATTCCAGAATCATCATCAGAAGTTGCAGAAAGCATTTAAACATGCAGCCTACTTGGAAAGATGGCAGATCCATCAATCTGTCAATCAACTGTCAGATGACCTTTACAGGTCCTATTTTTCTGCATGGCATGCCTGAAAGTCTCTTTCTCTAACCAATTCTCCAGTCCTATGTGCTTTCATAGCAAATGCATTTTTAATATCGTATCTACTTTCATGGAGGTGTGTTTCTGCCTTTTAACCCCCCAATGGAGCGCAGACCCTCAAACTGAAAGTCTCTTTTTCTCTAACCCTATGTGCTTTCATTGCAAATGCATTCTCAGTGTCTGGTATCTACATTCATGTAGGTCTTCCTCTGCCTGTTCTTCCTTCTTCTTCTGCCTTCAAGCATATACCTCAGCCAACTCACTTGCCAAGTCGTTCTATCCTTGGCTATTGCATGCAGCTCTTTCCATGTCCTTTCCATCTTATTAACTTGACTCTCTAGCCCTACATCAGTGTTCTCTCCAGGCCACTATGATGGCCAAAATTCCACAGCTTTTGGAACAGAATGCTGGTAATGAGCCAATTCTCCTCGTTTCTCAGATCATGCAAGATGTCAGTGTGGATGACAAGGGAATGCAACCCTGTCTTACCTCACTCTGCACATCAAACCAGTCGAGTGTTTCCAAACTGTACCTTTGCCAAAATCAATCACAGCATCCGCTGAATAATAAACCTTTGTAATAAAACCTTTAGGACAGGTTTCATTTGATCACAAACTGGAAGAAAGGTGAACAACAAACTAGGAAATTATATTTAATAACAATCTTAACAGGCACATTCAGTTTGTCACATCTGTATGGGTAAAGTACAATCAGGCAATAATGCAGAAATAATGTTATATAAATTATTGTGTCAAACTGGTTTTATCACAAAGTATGCAAGAAAGCCCACACAGAGTTGACAGTCAAAATTGATCTGAAACAATGATATAATTTTAGCAAAACAAATTGCAGAATATATACAATATTATGGAAACATTCACGTGTGCTGGTGTCTGAGAACAGGTGTATTGATGAGAAGTGGGTTAATTACGGTAAAGCTGTGGAGACGTAAACAACTAGAAAACATGCGTAGGTTTGTTTCACAAAAAGCAGCCACAGAAAACAAAGGATGTTGCAGTAACATTTCTTCATCAGCCAGAAAAAAATATTGAGCAGTGTTACTAAAGTAGTTACAAGAAGTTGTTATAAAAAGGTGGTGGGGAAAGAGAGAGGGGGCGGGGGGGGGGGGGGGGGGGGGGTCACTGAGCTATTGCATGCAGCTCTTTCCATGTGCTCCCCATCTTTTTAACTTCAATCTCTAGCCCTACATCAGTGTTCTCTCCAGGCCACCATGATGCTTAACATGGCCAAAATTCCACAGGTTTTGAGTCAGGATGCTGTTAATGAGCCAATTCTCCTCGGGCTTCATGGCTAGTGCTGTCGCTACGAACTATGCAGGTTAAGATTTTTTTTTTGAAAACTTCATAATAACATTAAGGAACCATGACGAAACAAATATTTCAGTTATTTTTGTGTAATGTTTTTGAGCCTTCTTCCTCATGTTCAGTGGCTGTAAAATCTGATTTGTTTGGCTGTTATTTCACTTCTTGACTTTAGTCTTTGCGTGTGCATCAATTTTACAGATCTGGCTTTTTTGCATGCAGACTGTTGGTTCCTCGCTTATAAAGCAGATGAACTCTAAGTCTCAAGGAAGCCTCTGATTAGTCAACACTTACATCACGCTCATTGGGCCAGGAAGGGGGGGAGCGGTCTGTTCTTTTTGTTTTCCACATAAATGGGGTCCCAGAACTCTTTGAAATATTTGGCTTGTTTTTGCTCTTTGCTGAGGAAGATTTGTTGACGCAACATTCTCTATTTTGTGATTGTATTCTTGATGGGTAAAGAACAATAGAGACACAGAGAGAGAAAGAGAGAGGAGAAAAACAAAGAGAAGAAAAAGAAAAACAAAAATGTCAAGATAAAAATTTATTAGTCATAAACAGTTATAAACATTTTCTATTTTCACAAGGATATTAGGTCCAGCAGAATGATATATACACAAAGATTGTGTGCACAAAATTGAGTGTGTAGACCCATCTGTACACAGTTCTGCCTCTTAATGTTCAAACAAATTAATAAATAGTTCCATAAGTAGTTCATGATGCTCAAATATGAATTCTCAATACATAAAACTGAATAATTAATTATTCACAGCCAAGAAAAAATACATTGGAAATTATTCATAATGGTGTCATCTAAGAAATATACAAATTAATTATTAATTTTAAGAAACTGTAGGGCACAAAATCTGGAAAGCGCAGACTGCAATACCTGCATATGATAGTACATATAGAAAAGTTTTGGAAAACATACTATTTTTATTTCTCACACTGACTGGAGAGGTATCTTGCTCTTCTTGTAGTTAACACCGTTGGTTTCCAGTTTGCAAAGTCCGGCAGGCACTCCTTTATTTTTGAAGGTCTGCCACTAACCCCATACTTTTTAACAGCCACACCAAAGAATTTATTCTTCTTTCCTTTGTCGTCTTACTAATACCAGGTAGTAGCCCAGTGTTGTGGTTTTCTGTATTTGTTTTGCGCTGCTCTGGTGAGTAATGAATTTGTTAATCTTTTTGCAGGTTTCAACTACACCATTAATCCATCTTTATCTTGGTCTTTCCCTCACCTTTCTCTCAGATTTTCTGCTGTAAAATGTCTCATATGCAATTTGGTCTGGCTGCAGGGAAGATCGACTTAGAAACAATGATATCAGGAGGACAGTCGGTAAAGAATTAGTTCCGAACTTTATCAGTAAACAACTGGTCCAATGGTTTAGCCATGCAACAAGATTGGCAACAAATAGGGTACCATAGAGAGCATTGTTATTCAGATACAGCAGTAAAAAAACCAGAGGTCAACCATGCAAAATATGGACTGCAAAACTATCCGAAACACTGAAAAATAACTATATGAAGTGAACAGAAAGTTCAAGGAATGCAACGCATTCCAAGAGTAGAGAAAATTAGAAAAAGAAGAAGAATCACAAAAAGGAACAAGACTGGCTCATGTTGTGCCATGCTGTTGTGGTCATAATGCCTATCCCCAGGCTTCTGTCTCATGTTCAGCCAATTCAGTAATCCACACTGGCATGTGTCACTGATCATCATGCTGGTATACAGTGTTAATTCTTGTGAGCTGCCAGATATTTCTGATGCGGCTTTTTCCTGACAGGATCCCATACTGTCTAACCTTTTCTCTCTTTCAAAATATCCGCCATTTTTGTTTTGTTAGTGTTCCTCTTCTCACTCCAATAAACGTAGACTGTCGACATCTTTTCCAGATAACCCCTTCAATTTGTGAGTTAATGTTTTTTAATTAGCATTTAAGTAATTTATTTAAACAGTTCAATAAATTATATCACCCATTTGCCAGGTGATCTGTGCAACTGCTAGCTATAATTAAGGCACAGATAAGCAGCTTTTGAGGCCATTGCAATTTCACATATCTTTATATTTGTTAAGTTAATTAATTTCAAAAGATATTTAAGCTATGCCTGTGTTTTGGACTGTTATGAGCAGAGGATGCAGCGGACATCTGTGTTCTCATGTACCGAGGCAGCGTGGCCTTTCTTGTGGCTGGGTTGTACTCAAACACAGGACAATTAGTCCACAAAGTCTGTTGGAAAAGAAAAATATGTTTCAGTATACATGTATTTCTACCAATGAACAACTTAGAACAATAAAAAGCACATTTTCGGTAAAGATTTCATAGAACATCAAAGAATAAAATCTTTTCGTAATTTGGTCTGAAAGAAACAAAATCAGCCAGAAGCTAGAGCGTACTACATGAAAACAGAAGAATACAAGTCAAGTGGTCGACCAAGAAAGAGATGGGTGGAAGGAGTAAAAGAGACACTACAGAAATGCAACATAACATTAACACAAACTACAAACTAGTAAAAGACAGGAAACCATATCTAACTATTCTCTTTGATGCTTGACAACAAAAATAGTAGGGCAAAAAAAGAAGAAAAACACAGGTATTCCTAGGAATTGGTTAGGAATACAGTAACTGTTAGAAAATGACAACGGAAGTTTTACACTAGAGACTTTTAAAAAATCTTCAAGGAGAATCCTCAGAATATTTTGGCCAAACAATATCACAGGTGGAGAACTAAGAAGGTTAATAATATGTTCACCACTGGCAACCATTATCAAAGGAAAGAAATAAAGATGGCTTGGAAATGTTTGTGAAATGCCTCACTATTCTTTGGCAAGGACAGCTCTCTGATGGATGGCAGATAGAAAAAGATGTGGACGACCTAAAGAAACTTGGAGAAGGACAGTAAAAAGGAAATGAAGAAACTGAAATGGCACTGGATACCACAGACAGAAAAGAACAGTGGAGGTCACTTGTGAATGTCTGATGTATCAACAGCCACATGAAAAGGATCTACAGACTACAGGTGCTTAGAGACACAAATGTAATAGCAATGTTTATCACAAAAAGGTAGCAACATTATCAAAGTTCAATATGTATGGTTAAACACTTTATCTCCTATAGATAAATATATATAGCATATCTAAATAAAACTTTACCAAAAAAAGTTTAGCATATATGGATATCAATTTTATAAAACAAAATAACACAATGATAATAACTTTATCAAAGTATATCATATAGGGATAACATATTTATCAAACATAGAATATATAGAAAATAATTCTATACCATATATGCAGATAACAGCCATATCAAATTATATCATATCTGGATAACAAACATGTCACAGTAAAACATAAATAAATTATAATTTTTTAAAATACAACACATACAAATTTATCACAGTAAAACATGCACTGAAAACAACTGTACCACAGTAGTTATATACAGATAACAGCTTTAATAAAGTATAACATGTAGGTAACAAATTTATCACAGTATAACATAAAAAAATAATAATAATATCTTTAGCAAAATATATCATATTTAGATGACAATTTTATCACAGCATAACATACACAGACAACAAATGTATCACAGTATAATAAAACAGGTAACAACTGCATCAAAGTAGAAGATATACAGATAACACTTTTATCACAATATGAAATAAACGGACAACAACTCAAATCAAATATAACCCACACAGATAACAACTGTTAAGGTGTCTAAGTTACCTCATTGGCATCACGAGACCATATTAGAACGGCCTCATCGTCTGAGTGAGATCCTGCAAAACTGATCACAATAGGCTTTCCCTGGCTCCTAAAAATTGTATAAGAGATAAAGGTAAACACATAGTAAAGTAATGGACCTTTGTCACACCTCTAGGCATATTGGGCACATTGTGCTAGACCTATTTTTTATAGACCTATCAGCACTCGGTGGGGGATATGGTCAACATCATGCTGACCGCCTTTACTTCCCAGGGCTTCACCTGGTACCCATTTGAGGCTGGGCTGACCTGGGATCCAAGGAACTTCTGAAAAAAAAAAAAAGAAATTGTCCAGCTCCATTCATAAACACACATCGGATATTTGAACAAAGAAGACACAACCAATAGATGGATCAATTTACTGCCTGGCATATTTTGCTGTATCTCTCAGGTGCATACCACAATAGGAATTACATAAATGAAGCAAACAATTGAATCCTTTATAAATAAAGTATTCGGCCACCATGGCAAGCATGGGAGGCTAAGAACCAGGGAACCAGACCTCCGGGACGACCCAGGGTGCGCTGGGAAGACAACATCCGACAGTCCATGACTGACAGAGGACTGGAATGGAACAAAGCCAGAAAGAAAACTGCTGATAGAGACGTCTGGCGATCTCTCTGGCAAACCTCTACACCCCAAGGTAGAAGAGGAGCGACTAAACTAAGTAAAATAAATAAAGTACAAATTCAACCATTCTCAAAAGCAACTGCCTGTTTTACCCAGGCAATCCAGGGTCACTATAATGTCTGATGTGTTTTACCCAGGCAATCACAGGGTCACTATAATGTCTGATGTGTTTTACCCAGGCAATCATAGGGTCACTATAATGTCTGATGTGTTTTACTTGGGCAATCACAGGGTCACTATAATGTCTGATGTGTTTTACCCAGGCAATCACAGGGTCACTATAATGTCTGATGTGTTTTACAAGAGCAATCACAGGGTCATTATAATGTCTAATGTGTTTTACCCAGGCAATCACAGTCACTATAATGTCTGATGTGTTTTACCCAGGCAATCACAGGGTCACTATAATGTCTGATGTGTTTTACCCAGGCAATCACAGGGTCACTATAATGTCTGATGTGTTTTACAAGAGCAATCACAGGGTCACTATAATGTCTGATGTGTTTTACCCAGGCAATCACAGGGTCACTATAATGTCTGATGTGTTTTACAAGAGCAATCACAGGGTCATTATAATGTCTAATGTGTTTTACCCAGGCAATCACAGTCACTATAATGTCTGATGTGTTTTACCCGAGCAATCACAGGGTCACTATAATGTCTGATGTGTTTTACCCGAGCAATCACAGGGTCACTATAATGTCTGATGTGTTTTACCTGAGCAATCACAGGGTCACTATAATGTCTGATGTGTTTTACCTGAGAAATCACAGGGTCACTATAATGTCTGATGTGTTTTACCCGAGCAATCACAGGGTCACTATAATGTCTGATGTGTTTTACCCGAGCAATCACAGGGTCACTATAATGTCTGATGTGTTTTACCCGAGCAATCACAGGGTCACTATAATGTCTGATGTGTTTTACCCGAGCAATCACAGGGTCACTATAATGTCTGATGTGTTTTACCTGAGCAATCACAGGGTCACTATAATGTCTGATGTGTTTTACCCGAGCAATCACAGGGTCACTATAATGTCTGATGTGTTTTACCAGAGCAATCTCGTGAACAGTTTTGCTTGTCATAAACCACTGTCTGGAATGTGACTCATGTGCTTGAACTTGTCTGAGTAAAATAAGTCACTCTCTCATAAGCCCAAAAAAGCTGTAATAGAATCATCTGGAATGACTAACGATGTCATATTTCTGAAACATCATGAGGAGGAGGCAAAAGAAAAGTGTACCGTCGAGGTAAAAACAGGCATGAAATTACAACCACGCTACAACACGAACTAGACAGACTTAGTGAGTGGTGCCAGGAATCAAGAGCTCAGGTGAACCCGTCCAAAGCCTCCTTAACATGGTTCTCTCTGAATACCCACATCGTCAGTACACCAATGCCAATCGTAAGCATGAGTGGTGTGGACATCGAGAGAACGGACACCATGAAATACCTGGGCATGACATTTGACAGATGCTTGTCATACAAATGTCATGTAGAAAATGTCATACTTAGAGCCAGAAAAGGTCTGACAGCACTCAAGGTGCTTCTCTATCAAGGGCTTGTATTAAGCGTCAATCACTACGGTCTTGGCCTTCTCACTGTCAGCAAAACCCAGCTAGAAAGACTGGACCAAGTACAAAATGAGGCCATGAGACTCATACTCGGTTGCACAAAAGACACCTCCTGCAACGCCATGCATTATGTCCTGGGTTTGCGGATGATGACTAGCAAATACAAAGTAACACAGGTCAAGGCGTACATGAGGGTATCGGCAGATGTTAACCACCCACTGCACAAAGCTATACATGACACAAAAGGAACATGTCTAAAGAGAGGTGGTATGTGCTCTGAATGGGTAGAAAGCATTAAAAAATCACCCTTTATCTCCCTCACCTGGATCTACATACTTGGCCATGCGGGCATAAAGAGAAATGAACGAGCAGACCGACTGGCAAGGACTACACTAAGGCATTTGGGAAGAAGCATGGACAGAGCAGATATCGTCAATGCTGTATGGACTGGACTAGTGAATACCAGACACTTAGACAATTGTGTGACATGGGAGTAAAGCATGGTGAAGCACGTCTTTGCCGTCTTTGAGGCCGAGATATGAGACAATATAACCAGCTTCTCATGGGAACAATTAGTAGAAGTACTTTGGAGTGGCTGCTGCAACGGAGGACTGAGCACGCATGGGAATGCCCAACGTGCAGTGACATCGATTGTGATAACATAACATAAAATATAAAATAACAAAAGAAAAGTTACTCTTGCCAGATTTTTAGTAAAAGTCAAGCCTGCTGAGTCTCAATCGGTTACAAGCAGGGAAAAGTGACAGAAAAAAAAAGAAAGAGAATAAAACACACCAGAATTTTGGATTCCCGAAGTTTTATTGGAAGAGGACCCTTCTTCCAAACAATAACATCTCCCGCCTTCTTCCTTTTCAGCACCAGCCATACTAGTGGGACTTGACACTTCTCAAGATGGTAAAATAAGGTTACATTTTCATTTATTTCATTTAATTGCTTTTGTTTTTATGTTTTTTAGTACTAAGGACTGTTTGAATTATTTTATACAATCCTATCATTGTATAATTTGCCAGTAACAATAGTAATTTCTTTTCCTGGTCCCGGTTTAATCATTCTCTCTTTATTTCTTTTGGGAAAATTTGTTTGGTATATGTTCTGTTTTTGTATATATCCAAGGATTTGGAACAGATTAATACAATATACAGAGGCACTACTGTATTTCACTTTTTACCTAATTGGAGTAGGAATTAACCTTTACACCTTTGGCACACTGTAAAGTGACAAAACAGCCGTGAAAAGTTACTTTGATGAAAGTCACCACAATTGTATGTACATGATTTTCAATAGTGCCAAAGGATATATTTATATGTACATATATCAAAACATTTAATATACAATTTTTTTCAATTTAACTGACACATTTCAAACTGCAAATCTTGCTTAAAATATTACTACTAAAACAGTGTCTATGTAAAGATGTCTTAGTCTTAGCCTTAGTTAAGGTTTTAACTTCACTGCAATTGGGTCACTCCATACTTGCTCCGTTTCTGCTGCATTGAAAATCAAATTAAATGTCCATCACTGTCCCATTTGAAAAATGGGTGAACAAACAATTGTCACAGCTCGGTTGTTAAGATGTCTATGCAAGCCAAAATATTGCCACTAAAACAGGTCTATGTTAAGATGTCTATGCAAGCCAAAATATGACTATTAAAACAGTATCTGTGCTAACATGTCTATGCAAGCCAAAATATTGCCACTAAAACAGGTCTATGTTAAGATGTCTATGTGAGCTAAAATATTATTATTAAAACAGTCTATGTTAAGATGTCTATGCAAGCCAAAATATTGCCACTAAAACAGGTCTATGTTAAGATGTCTATGTGAGCTAAAATATTATTATTAAAACAGTCTATGTTAAGATGTCTATGCAAGCCAAAATATTGCCACTAAGACAGGTCTATGTTTAGATGTCTATGTAAGCCAAAATATTATTATTAAAACAGTATCTGTGCTAAGATGTCTATGCTAGCCAAAACATTAAAACTAAAACAGGTCTATGTTAAGATGTCTATCTGAGCTAAAATATTATTATTAAAACAGTCTATGTTGAGATGTTTATGCAAGCCAAAACATTACTGTTAAAACAGTGTCTATGTTAAGATGGGGTTTAGCATCACAGGCCCAGGAGGTTTAGCATCACAGGCCCAGGAGGTTTAGCATCACAGGCCCAGGAGGTTTAGCATCACAGGCCCAGGAGGTTTAGCATCACAGGCCCAGGAGGTTTAGCATCACAGGCCCAGGAGGTTTAGCATCACAGGCCCCGGATGTTTAGCATCACAAGCCCAGGAGGTTTAGCATCACAGGCCCAGGAGGTTTAGCATCACACGCCCAGGAGGTTTAGCATCACAGGCCCAGGGGGTAGTAAACAGAGTCATAAAATCGGCTCATCATGCGTTCATTGGACTTTTAGGTAGGAACATATGAACGTATGGTGCGTTCCTTGGGACTCAAAGAGTTAAGATGTGACTTACTCTGTGGCCACTAGCCATTTGATCGGTTTGTCTGAGATTTTATTTTTACTCATGAGCGAGAGGTCAGCTCCGTAGAACATGTCCAGGGTGCTAGCAATGCTTGTTCGACTTTCCACGCTGAAATATCGAGAGTATAAATGTAGTCAGAATTTCCGCTAATTTTTGTTACTATTACAATTGCTGACAAATTTTCTGACAAATTGCAAATCTCCTAAAATAATTACTGGAATAACACCAATAACTTTAAAAAAAAAAAAAAAAAAAAATTAAGTGAATGACCCTTTTCCATGTCTTTAGGTGTATATGATATATAGGGCTAAACCTATATTTTATAGACCAATCGGCACAAAATGGGTGATGTGGTCAGCATCACGCTGACCGCCTTTACTTCCTGGGACTGCACCCAGTACCCACTCAGGGCTGGGTTGACCTGGGAGCCAAGTTCATTTAAAAAAAAACAAGTCCGTCTCTACCAGGGAGTGAACTCACAACCTTCTGATCCGCATGCGAGCATCTAGCCACTATTCCACCGTGACTCCCACACACTAATAATTAAATGCATTAAAAACACATATTGAAATCGTTTGGCCATTTAATAAAAAGGAATCCGATGATGCCAGCAACGAGAGCGTACAACAAGAAAGTAGAAACACCAAGAGGTAGGGAACAACCAAGAAGAAGAAATGAACTGAAGGAGTCACTGATACCGTGAGACTCCCAAACATCACAGCATACCGGACAACAAGTCTGACCCCACAACCTCACAGAATATCGGATAACAAGTCTGACCCCACAACATCACAGCATACCGGACAAGTCTGACCCCACAACATCACAGCATACCGGACAATGAGTCTGACCCTACAACATCACAGCATACCGGACAACAAGTCTGACCCTACAACATCACAGCATACCGGACAACAAGTCTGACCCCACAACATCACAGCATACCGGACAACAAGTCTGACCCCACAACATCACAGCATACCGGACAACAAGTCTGACCCTACAACATCACAGCATACCGGACAACAAGTCTGACCCTACAACATCACAGCATACCGGACAACAAGTCTGACCCCACAACATCACAGCATACCAGACAACAAGTCTGACCCCATTACAGCACAGCATACCGGACAAACAGTCTGACCACACAACATTACAGCATACCGGACAACAAGTCTGCCTTAGCTTGGATATGGATCATCCATCTGTAAACCTTGGAGGTCAGCGGCACAAAGCAGAAAATGGACAAACAAAAGAAGCATAGATCCCACTCTCTTCTTCTTCCTCTACTGCTGCTTATGATGATGCGGGCACTGCTGCAACTACCACTTCTGCTACCGCTGCTTCTGTTACCACCAACAGTAACAACAACTACCACTTCTGCTACCGCTGCTACTGTTACCACCAACAGTAACAACAACTACCACTTCTGCTACCGCTGCTACTGTTACCACCAACAGTAACAACAACTACCACTTCTGCTACCGCTGCTTCTGTTACCACCAACAGTAACAACAACTACCACTTCTGCTACCGCTGCTACTGTTACCACCGACAGTAACAACAACTACCACTTTTCTACCGCTGCTACTGTTACCACCAACAGTAACAACAACTACCACTTTTCTACCGCTGCTACTGTTACCACCGACAGTAACAACAACTACCACTTTTCTACTGCTGCTACTGTTACCACCAACAGTAACAACAACTACCACTTCTGCTACCGCTGCTACTGTTACCACCGACAGTAACAACAACTACCACTTCTGCTACGACTGCTACTGTTACCACCGACAGTAACAACAACTACCACTTCTGCTACCGCTGCTACTGTAACCACCGACAGTAACAACAACTACCACTTCTGCTACCGCTGCTACTGTTACCACCAACAGTAACAACAACTACCACTTCTGCTACTGTTATCACCAACAGTAACAACAACTACCACTTCTGCTACCGCTGCTACTGTTACCACCAACAGTAACAACAACTACCACTTCTGCTACCGCTGCTACTGTTACCACCAACACTAACAACAACTACCACTTCTGCTACCACTGCTACTGTTACCATCAACAGTAACAACAACTACCACTTCTGCTACCACTGCTACTGTTACCACCGACAGTAACAACAACTACCACTTCTGCTACCACTGCTACTGTTACCACCGACAGTAACAACAACTACCACTTCTGCTACCGCTGCTACTGTAACCACCGACAGTAACAACAACTACCACTTCTGCTACCTCTGCTACTGTTACCACCAACAGTAACAACAACTACCACTTCTGCTACTGTTATCACCAACAGTAACAACAACTACCACTTCTGCTACCGCTGCTACTGTTACCACCAACAGTAACAACAACTACCACTGTGTCTTCCCTAAAATAAGACTAACCCAAAAATATGCCCAAGCAGAGATTTTTCTAGATGCATTCAATATAAGCCCTACCCCAAAATTAAGCTCTTGTTAAGATCACCAGCTAGAATGAGAGACTTGATACCAAATGGCCAGTCAAAGTACAGATGCAAGAAAGATAAGACTGAATGTGTTTCAGGCATTATTGTTCTTGAAACTGACAAAGCTTTGTGTATACAAGCAGTTATGAGGAAGTGGGTCGATTTAACGCTGTTTCTTGTTTTGTAAGATGATCATTGAGCTCTGTTAGTTTGGAACTGGAGTGCAAGAAATTCAGGTTGCAGTTTGGGATCTACCGGATTGTGACAATGTTATAGAAGAAGATGACCTGACTTTATTCCAATACATCTAGAATTTCGTACATAAATAAATTTAGATTTTTGTATCTGGAAAAAAAAGGACATCCCTTAAAAATAAACCCTGGTGTATTTTTAAGCAAAAATTAATATAAGACCCTGTCTTTTTTGGGGGGAACCTGGTACTGCCACCAAGACTTTTTTCTTGTGATTCGCTATGGGTTGTAATCTCCATGCTTCTCTCTATATAAACGCAATCATCTGGAAAGAAAGAAGGAAGTCAAGGAAGATCATGTAGTCGCATCCTGATGCCAAAAGCCACATGTCTTATTCACCTGTATAAACTGGAAGGAGTTAGTCTCAGCTGTGACTGGCCAGGTTGGCCGGAGTTCCCATGCTGCTGTGAAGGTGTGGAGATTTCATCATAAGATGACCAGCCAGTGGAACCGTCTCGATCTTTGCTAAGGGTTGGCGTCAACAAAAAGTCCATCATTTGCTGCAATAAAGTTACAATTCAGTTGCATAATCTTTATAGAACAGCGCAAACAACCCCATTATTTATTGGCTTTTGTAAGATCTCACAATGCATTTTTACATTCATTAGTCTCACACTAAAAATAAATGAACAAACTTCATCATCATCACCACTACCACCACCCCCACCACCACCACTACTATCTTCATCAGCATCTCCACCACCACCATCATCATCATCATCATAACCCCCACCACCACCATCATCATCATCATGTGTCATGCTGGTAAAAGTATGCTTTCATGTTTCACCATCTCACACGATCACGGATCAGCTCAATGTTTTTGTCACGTTTCATCCATCTGGCCAGGCCATCCAGCTGTTTATCACTTTGCCTTCCTCTTGTTCTCTTTTCATTAATATTGCCAGTTGTTACAAAGTTCTCAAGTCTGTCTACGTCTAATTCTTCAAACAAGTTTACAACTTTCATATGTCTCAATGATGACTGCTTCGATTTTTTTCCTATCATTAGATGATAATCTTTGCATTCTTCTCAGAAACAACATCTCTGCCATGAGTAAATACTTTTCAGCTTTATATTCAAATGGTCACAAATTTGGCCACAAACTGGTATAGCCAAATCTAACCTCTTCAGTGACGGAGTCAGTAAGCCTCTTAAGAACCTGCTTATCCATCTAATGGGATCCAATTCACCTAAGGGACTTAACATCTAACAAACATTTTTGAGTTATGGCCTTCCCTTCCAAATATATTTTAGCTAATATTCATTTCCTGTATTCACATGTGCTTCAGAGTTTCAAGTGACCAGACAGACATGGGGACTTTTCTTGGAGAGACCTCAGGTAAGTGATTTCATGTATTCTGGTTTGTAAATGTAATACTGTCTCTTTGTGTATTGTGTTGATGAAGGCTTTCTAACTGCAACGTTTATGTCTCATAGGTAAGTAAGTAATTAGGCAGGTAACCAAGTAGACAGGCAGGTAAATAATTAGGCAGGTAGGTTAGTAAGTAAGTAGACAGATAGGTAATTAAGTAAGTAGACAGATAAGTAATTAAGTAGGTAGGTGAGTAGACTATTAGGTAAGTAAGTAGGCAAACAAGTGATTAAGTAAGTAGGCTGATAGGTAAGTAAGTAGGTGAGTAGGCAGGTAGTTAGGGTGTAAGTAAGGATGGAAGGAAGTAAGTAGAACAAAAACAAATGTATATTTTTATACCTTTTCATCTTCCAGTGGAAAGCCAAGTTGAGAGTTAAAAGTGTTTGCAGTGTCACGTAAAAACTGATTCAACCTCTGGTCCTTCATGTCGGAGGAGTTGCTTACACAACTGAGCCGGCGACTGGGTGACAGTGAATCACTGTCACCACCTGCTGTTGACATGGCTGGGCTGTCCTTGTCTGTATCCACATGGATATTGGTATAATCCAACCGCCACTGAGCATCAAGGTCATGTGACTGAACGTTGCCAAAAGTGAGACTTGCATCAGAATTTTGCCGAACAATTTTAGAGTAAGAATTTGGAGAACTGATGGAAGATGTTTCTGACACAGACGGTTTTCTGCTGCAATTTCCTGAATCATCTGAAGAGTTACTTGATTCTGCTGTCTGCTTAGATTCAGTTCCTGTATGTATATCAACAGTACCTATGCTAGAATTACCACTGTCTTTAGATGCAACTGTGATGGTCTCCTGAACTACCTCATTAACAGATCGAAATTTGGCAGCAGATTTTCGCTTGTAGCTGTCCTTGAAGGATTGGACTCGGGCTTCATGGACACAGCTGTCCTCATCTGAATCCCCGTAAAATCTGGTGTCAATTTCTGGTGTAGACAGCGTTTCCATTGTGGGCCTGGATTGGCCAACTGTTGTGATAAGCTGGTTTACATAATTTGAATGCATAACAATTTCTTCTGAAGAGGTGGATATCTTTGAGGTGATTACGTGTTTTGTATCTTCCAATTCTTGTCTCAACTGACTTGCAGCTCTTTGTTTTTCAGCTTTACTTGCACTGTCATAATCCTGGACTTTGTGATTCTCTGTGATAGACTGATTTTCTCCAGAGCCACACGATGTATCAATCAATGCTGACTCATCAGGCAATACGATGTCTGGATTTGTACCAATAGGATTCTCTACAGTTAAAACAGACCTAACATATTCTGAATTGTCAATACTCTTTCTGATATCCGGATTTGTATATTCTTCTTCCTCACTCAACATACATGTTTCATTTAGTCTTTCTATATGGCATAAACTTGGGGTAGTCGGTTTAAAGTTCATTTTCAAACTCTGACTTCTTCGCATTTTAAATTTTATGTAATCATTGTCTTTCCGAAAGGCCTTTCCTTCAAACTGTGCAGCTAGAGCCTTGACATTTCCAGACTGGTCTAGTAAATGCTGATCAAACAGAGCTTCATTAGATTGCTTGGTGTCACTGTCATCATCTGAAAGATCTGAACCGGCATCAATATCACCATTTAAATAAACTTTGTTGGAGTAATTTTCTGTGGCGGTAACTTGCTTGATGTTCACATCATCGTTTAAATTGTCTTTGTCTGTACTACTGTAATTGGCATGAGTAAAATCACTATCAGGGCAATTTTTTGTTTCAGGAGTTGGAGATGTACGAACTACTTGTGGATCTTTCAGGGAAGGTTTAGACTCTGGGAAAACATTGTCAGAATCAACACTTTTCACCGAATCTTCTGATTCAGTTCTCTCAGTCAACTTCAGCGGGTGTTTAAGTTTTACTTCATGAACGTCTTGAACACTCAAGTCAGGACCTGCATGAACTGAATTGACATCCACATTGTTGGAAGCATCGTTGCGACTTTCTACTTTACCATCAATGAAAGAAGTTTCAGGCATTTTGTTCTTCAAGTTATGAAATTCTTCTGTGGCAACTTGCTGGTGATGTAAATTCTTCTCCTGGCTAATTTGTTTACAAGATGATTTTTCTTTCTTTGGAAAAGTTTCTTCATTTTCGAAGATAATATCATCAACACTTTTCTCACAAAGCAAGGATATACCACTGTCTTCAGATTTCTTTTTTATTCTCTTTTTATCATTCCTAACATTGCAATCATTACTAGCAACACCTTCTTTTAAAACTGCATTCACAGTATCAGTTGTTTCAATGCAATGAAATGAATTATCCATGAAAGAAGTTCTGTCTAAATCTTCATGAGGTAGAGATCCGACCTCAGCAATCTGATCATTCTTGCTGCCAGTATCATCAGTGCAGTTGGGGCTAGCTTGTAGGCTGCTCTGATAGTCCTCCTGACTTGTGTCTTGTTTAAGAGTCTCATTTATTGACGTGTCTGTACAACTTGAGGAACCAGAGCTGTGTGTGTTGCTTTGATTGTAGACATTCAGGGAGTCATTTAGGGCTGCAGAGACGATCTCCTTGGCAAGACTGAAATGTGAAGTGGCAGATGATGTTACTGTACCTAAAGGCACTCCTGATGTATTTGTTACAGCTGCAGGCCTTGAAAACACTGCTGTGGCAAAGTCTGTTGACACTGTCTTACACAGATCACTTTTACTTTCAGCCAACTTTATAGAACACGTATCCATCCCAGTGTGAATATCCACAGAATCATGAACAAAACTGTCATTTTTTTTGGTTGCGTCATCTTTATTCAGATCATTTCCCTCCATTTCAAACTTATTTTCTCCACCTGTTACCATATTCTGCTCTCTAACAACAGAAGAGTTACAACCCTCTTCTATTGGAAATTCATCATTAGTTTCACAACCTGACTGACCATCAATGTCCATCCTCTGAATATACAAATTCTTGACCCGCCTCTCAACCTCTAGCAGACGAGTGTAGCTTTCAGATTCACTGGCATGTGAGAGAAATGCAGAAGACTTCCAGGACTGGGAATCCCCCAGTTCTGAGCCGACGATGGGATTTTCTGTGAGAAAAGGTGAGGTATCAGATGGAGTTCTATTGTTTTGCAGAAAGACATCAAAAGTGGTGAGAATTCCTTCGCCAGTGCCAACCCAAACACTGTAGTCCATTGCCAGGATGGAGGTGATTCGAGCAGCATTGAAGTACGTGTCGTCTTCCTGAAAAATATTTTTTTTCAGTTGTTATTTCCCTCTATTAACAAAAGTATGCAAGTGTTCAAGGAAATGAACAAGCTGATAGACTTGCAGAGGGAGGGGGGGGGGGTAACTGTGAAGGGTGGACATGAATGGACCAGGCTGATACACTGAAGGCTCAATAAGAAGTAAGATGTGCAAAAACCAGCTGATGACTGTGAATCTGCAGCCATGATCAGATTCCAAGAATAGCAAGTTAAAAGGTCAAACAAGAGCACTGTGCAGGAAGCCAAAGAAGAATGATAAATAAACACAGAAATGGTGTTATTAGCTACTACATGTCACAGGACTTACTGAGGGAATCCGAACATCTACGAACTGAATGGTTTGATGTACAATTAGAAGGATAGTTGAGTTGAGTCAAGAATTGACATCACAGCACTCGGGGCATTCCTATGTGTGCTCTGTCCTTATACCCAGCAGCCAGCGCAGAGTTCCAATACTAATGGTAGCGGTCACAATCTGGTTCTATGTCCATCATGCCTTTCCTCTGAGTGTAGTGAGCCGGCCAGACCCTCTGGTTATACCCAGGTGCCTCATTCTCTCCAGGCCATAATAATCTTGTTTTTCTGCTGATTCCGTTACTTGTTCCCAAAGGGCCTTGACCACATCTGCCTTGTCATCTATCAATTCACCACCCAGTGGTGCAGATCTAGCCAATCTGACTGGCTGTTCATTCCCCACCACGCCGGCGTAGCCTGGTGAAAAGATCCAAAGTATGCTCACTACCAGTGACCTTCCCAGTGAAGCTTGCACTCTGCTCAAAGCATCCCTGTAATGAGAAGGATCTGTTGACTGATTGATTAACTATCTAACTAACTATTTTTATTGCTCTTAATTACATTTAAAAAAAATCGTTCTTATCATTTCCACTTCATGTCTTTTGAGAAAACTTATTTTCATAATGAAAAGAACAGACCAGAGCAATTAACACCAACAAAATATCCATGACTTGCCTTGCGCAGGTTGGGGTACCTTCCTGTCCGTGTGTCGTAGAGCATCTTACAGGACAGGGACATAGGATCCCAGAGCTCCAAAACCGAAGATCCCCTGACAGAGATCCACACACCAGGAAGACCCGGTACCAGGGACAGAACCGTGTCATATGGGTTTCCTGAGACGGTGAATCTGTCCATAGGGTCCAGTGTGCTGTGTGGGGGGAAAGAACAATGAAAATTTTACAACATCGTTTGTGGTTTAGGTGTTGGGAATCATCATCATCATAAACCACATCTGCCGTTAAGCAGCATGGGAAGGAGTAATTTGCGATTGAGTGCACATTGGCTGCCACTGGCAATTGTCATGCCGTGAAGGTGTAGAGTGTCTTTAATGTTGTCGATCCATATTTTCAGCGGCTGTCCTCTTGCTCTTGTAGCTGATCTTCTGAGATGTAGTGCTTGTGATGGTATTTGATCTTGCTGCATTCTAACGAGATGGCCAAACCCCTTGATCTGCTGGATCTCGATGGATCTGGTACAAGGTGTCGTTCCCACAATTTGCCTGATAGTTTCATTATTCAGTCGATCTCGGATGGCTAAGCTGGCTGCTTTTCTCATCTCGCAGGTAGTGATTTTGCATATATGGGCTTTAGTTAGTGTCCATGTTTGGCACTGGTAGCCTAATGTTGGAATAAATATGCTGTCTATAATCTCTTTGCACTCATAGATATGTTTTAGTGTTGGAAATGTGCTTCTTAATTCCATGGTGCCCAGTTTGATCCTAGCTGCAGACAATTTAGCAGAAGACTACCTTGCAGTGGTTTCTTCTTCTTCTTTCTGTACACCCACTAATGGACTTTAATCTTGTTCTTGAACTAAATTTTTGCTTGCACATTCATTTTACAGATCTAACATATTTTACATATTTTTTTTTGGTTTCTTGGCTCTTAGGCACATGCGCTGCTATCTGAAGGAAACACCACTAATAAGTCGCCTTTTATGACATGTTTGTCAGGGAAGTATTGATTCTTTTCCTACTTCCCCTACAATAGGGCACTAGAACCCACAAGGGGAGCGTTGGTTTCTAACATTGGTTAAGACAGCCGAATGTCCAGCGGTAATGGCAAGCGACTGAAACACATACACATTGTCTTTTGAAATTACAAACAGCCCAAAACTCCTGTGGTTGTTTCTGCAGCATCCTTAAAGGACCCAACTAACAAAGAAAAAGAATATATTAAAAAAAGATTTTCTTTTTTGTGTTCAGTTTTGTATGCTCAGATCAGACCATCAGGTTGGTTGCCTCTATGAACTCGCATGTCTCAAGCAGGTCCTGCATGGTTCCCCATAGCTTGCTCTGCACACTTGGCTCTTGAGGCCAGGTGTCTTTTCGAAGTTGTAGGTAGAGTGGGCAGGTTTTCAGAATGTGCTCAGGTGTTTGTGATCCTGTTTGACAGGCACACTGTGGGGACTTTACAACCTTTATTTTATGCATGTGATAGTTGAGAAGAAGAAACAGAAACAAAATAATAATACATAAAAAAAGGATATTTTATACACGCAGAAAAAAAGGGCAACATCTCCGGAGACACTGTAACTGTAACCAACTTCTCACAGAAACAATGAGCAGAGATAACTTGGGTTAGCTGCTACATCAAAGGACTGAGCATGCGTGGGAATACTCAATGTTCATTGATGTCAGTTATGATAACATAATAAGGATAACACAAACTTATTTTAACAGTTAGGCACAATAACACAATAAGCACAGGACAAGGAGACACTTTCCAGTCTTTGGTCATCTCATAAGGAGGAGAAAACTGGAGTACATTGTGATGATAGGAAAGCTGAAGTGGAAAACAAGCAGAGGAAGATGATAAGAAAGTTGGAGTGGAAAACAGGCATAGAAGGACAACAGAAAATCTGGAGTGGAAAACAGGCAGAGGACGATGAAAAGGAAAGAAGGAGTAGAAAATAGGCAAAGGGAGACGAAAGGAAATCTGGAGTGGATGAGGATGATGATGACAACGATAATGATGAGTACGATTATGTGCATGTTTTAAAACTGGGACACATTTTACATATTTCTCAAAGAATTTCCAGACGTAATTATTACATTTAATGACTGCTACACATCAACACAAGGTCACCAACCTGGCGTGAATAATTGAAACTGTGTTCCCACAGGCGCACCACAACTGGTTGCCTAGCAGCTTCAGACACGTGACTGGTGATTGTCCAATGGGAAGATAGAGCACATCATAGTTTGTACAGGACTCAGTTATTGTCTGAAACGATATAATTAATTAGTCAGTCAGCTGCCACTCCCCACAATGAAGCCTGACTTTAATGGATCATCAAACTTGTTACGCACTCTCTCAAATGGAAATCCAAACCTGAGGGATTCAGGAACCATAACACTCCCCCATCCCTCAATTTCTGTTAAAAGTGGGCTAAGCTTTTCTCTCTAATTTCCTAAAAAATGAGCATGGGGTCTGTAGGCTGCCCCTTCTTCTCCCTCGAAATCATCTTCATTGCCAATGCTGCTGGTTTGCAGCTTTTCAGCCTGTGGTATTCTTTATCACTTTCATTTCTACATTTCCCTTTCTATTCTTCTTCTCCAGGTTTCCCTAGGCTGTCCAAATCTCCTTTTACCACATGCCGTCCATTAGAGAACTGTCCTTGCCAAATTGCCATGTGGTATTGTCTGAACATGTCTACGCCATCTCCATCTTCCTCCTCATATTTACCAGCGATGAACATTTTTATTTTTTCATTTTTATTTCTCAATTTGTGATCATATCTTTCTGAAATATTTGCAGGATTGTCCTTAGATATGTCTCACAAAGAACTTGTTCCACTTTTCCAACCTGTTACATTACTGGGGATGAAACGATCATGGATATGTCACGAGTACTACAATATTGGTTGTAAACTCTTAATGCAAGATGTGTTCGACATAGATGTAGTTAACATCATCAGAACACAGTGGGCAGTCATGGCTCGCCACCTCATCTCTCATGTTCGTGATCACATATTCGAAAATCAGTAGCATGATTCTCTCCTCAGCAAATCCCACAGCCCGTAGTGCAGCGGTTGCTAACCTGTGGGTCGCATGTAGTGCAGCCGTTCCTAACCTGTGGGTCACACGTAGTGCAGCAGTTCCTAACATGTGGGTCACATGTAGTGCAGCAGTTCCTAACCTGTGGGTCACATGTAGTGCAGCAGTTCCTAGTCTGTGGGTCACATGTAGTGCAGCAGTTCCTAACATGTGGGTCACACGTAGTGCAGCAGTTCCTAACATGTGGGTCACATGTAGTGCAGCAGTTCCTAACCTGTGGGTCACATGTAGTGCAGCGGTTCCTAGTCTGTGGGTCACATGTAGTGCAGCAGTTCCTAACATGTGGGTCACATGTAGTGCAGCGGTTCCTAGTCTGTGGGTCACATGTAGTGCAGCAGTTCCTAACCTGTGGGTCACATGTAGTGCAGCAGTTCCTAACATGTGGGTCACATGTAGCACAGCAGTTCCTAACATGTGGGTCACATGTAGTGCAGCGGTTCCTAACCTGTGGGTCACATGTAGTGCAGCAGCTCCTAACCTGTGGGTCACATGTAGTGCAGCAGCTCCTAACCTGTGGGTCACATGTAGTGCAGCAGTTCCTAACATGTGGGTCACATGTAGTGCAGCAGTTCCTAACATGTGGGTCACATGTAGTGCAGCAGTTCCTAACCTGTGGGTCACATGTAGTACAGCAGTTCCTAACCTGTGGGTCACATGTAGTGCAGCAGTTCCTAGCCTGTGGGTCACATGTAGCACAGCAGTTCCTAACCTGTGGGTCACATGTAGTGCAGAAGTTCCTAACCTGTGGGTCACATGTAGTGCAGCAGTTCCTAACCTGTGGGTCACATGTAGTGCAGCAGTTCCTAACCTGTGGGTCACATGTAGTGCAGCAGTTCCTAACCTGTGGGTCACATGTAGCACAGCAGTTCCTAACCTGTGGGTCACATGTAGTGCAGAAGTTCCTAACCTGTGGGTCACATGTAGTGCAGCAGTTCCTAGCCTGTGGGTCACATGTAGTGCAGCAGTTCCTAGCCTGTGGGTCATATGTAGTGCAGAAGTTCCTAACCTGTGGGTCACATGTAGTGCAGCAGTTCCTAACCTGTGGGTCACATGTAGTGCAGCAGTTCCTAGCCTGTGGGTCACATGTAGTGCAGAAGTTCCTAACCTGTGGGTCACATGTAGTGCAGCAGTTCCTAACCTGTGGGTCACATGTAGTGCAGCAGTTCCTAACATGTGGGTCACATGTAGTGCAGAAGTTCCTAACATGTGGGTCACATGTAGTGCAGAAGTTCCTAACATGTGGGTCACATGTAGTGCAGCAGTTCCTAACATGTGGGTCACATGTAGCACAGCAGTTCCTAGTCTGTGGGTCACATGTAGTGCAGCAGTTCCTAACCTGTGGGTCACATGTAGTGCAGCAGTTCCTAACCTGTGGGTCACATGTAGTGCAGCAGTTCCTAACCTGTGGGTCACATGTAGCACAGCAGTTCCTAACATGTGGGTCACATGTAGCACAGCAGTTCCTAACATGTGGGTCACATGTAGCACAGCAGTTCCTAACATGTGGGTCACATGTAGCACAGCAGTTCCTAACCTGTGGGTCACATGTAGCACAGCAGTTCCTAACATGTGGGTCACATGTAGTGCAGCAGCTCCTAACCTGTGGGTCACATGTAGTGCAGTGGTTCCTAACCTGTGGGTCACATGTAGTGCAGAAGTTCCTAGCCTGTGGGTCACATGTAGCACAGCAGTTCCTAACCTGTGGGTCGCAACCCCTTTGGGGGTCAAACGGCCATTTCACAGTGCCCCCAAGACATCCAGAAAATACATATTCACTGAATTTATTAAGTACCAATGAAAATAATTTTACGGTTGGGGGTCGCCACAACACAGGAACTGTTTTAAACGGTCACGTCATTAGGAAGGCTGAGAACCACTTATGTATCCATTCATGACACCAGTCCTGTGTTGATTTCTTATTCTTCTTTGGTTTCCTGCATAGTACTCTTGTCTGTCCACACCAATTGTTCACTTTCTGGTCTCACAGTCTGGACATGGTTGTAGATTCACAGTCATCACTTGGTTCTCGCCAACATCCTACTTCTCGTACAGCATTCAGTATATCAGCCTGGTCCATGGCACGTCCGTACTCTGCAGTAGCCCCACCTATCAGCTGGCTTATTTCCCCGCACACTTGAGTGCGTTGTCCCAACTATGCTATCAATCAATCAGGTGCTGTCTCCACAAAGAAGTCTGGCGACAATAGATCTGCAACATGCTCTGTACACTTTCGCAAACTGCTGTTCATCCATCTCTTGGTGTTATCCTCCCAAGTGTATCATTGTCTGCATCTTGCTTGCTTGCCTTCAAGCTCTCCCTCCAGTATTGTTTTGATAAGAGTGTTACATTTATTTTAAATATGACCATTATATGTTACTTTTCTCTTTTTTATTTGTTTCAGAAAGCCTGTTTTTTATTCCCAGTTTCACCTGAATCTCTTGATTGTTTTTGTTTCCTTTTCCACATTTATTCAAAGATATAATTGTGCTGTGCCCGTTTACAGCATGACTGAGATATATGCGCCTTTTGGCCGACAAATCCGACTTCTGCAGTTATTTGTTCAACAGGTTAGCCTTTCCGGGGTTATTCTTCTTCTTCACTTCCTCTTTTAAGGCTGCGGGTGTCGAGGGAGATATAAGGTTCTGTTTCTGGCTCTTCTGGCCGCCTCAACCATAGGCACATCGTGCTGTTGTAGAGTTTCTCTGATGTTATCCTTCCATCTTGTTCTTGATCTACCTCTTGCTTTACGTCCTTCTTCTCTTTCCATGTATGCTTTGTATGGTATGGTGTCACAAGGCATTCTCTCTAAGTGAGCAAACCATTTCACTTGCTGTCTTTGTATGTAATTTAGAATTGGTTCTGTGCCGACTTTTTCTCTTATGATCTAATTCCTGATCTTATCTCTTATGGTCACTCCTACAGCCCTTCTCAGACATCTCAATTCCATGGTTACTAATTTTTTTTATTGTTTGTTGTGAGTGACCATGTCTGGCACTGGTAGCACAAAGTTGGATTAAATATGCTTTGAATAAGATGTCTCTTTGTGCTGATTGGGATTTCCGGGGTTGTTTTTGTTTAATATACTAATGCGCACAAGATGTTTGTTTTCTAATATGTTGTCTCCCTTTTGCTGCTGCTGCTGCTGATGTTGTTGTTGTTGTTGCTTCACAGGCTAGTCAGTTATTAAAACATTACAAAGTTTACTGTTTTAGTTTTTACAAACTCTAATATGCTCTTCAAATTTACCACTGTACAGGGCAGACCCCTTAAGGTGATCTTGGATGTGGTAACTTTCTGCTGTGAAGAGCAATTTATGTATTCCTAGCAATTTTTCTTGCTTGAATCCTTATCTGGATAAGAGGAATTACTGATAAGGAGAACCATTTTTTGGGTCCCTGGTGAGTTGTTCTTATTAGGTCTGCAGTGTATTACAGTACATAATGTACAGGCTTTGCATCTTTAATATGTTACATACGTTACACACTTGATTCTTTCTCACATACATTACCTCAAACACTGCCACCGTGCCATCTGCCAGTGCTGCAAATAATCTGTTTGAGCACTCCCCATCATCTTCTTTGTAGACCTGCATGGATAAGACGGCATCATGTACCCTCTGTTGCCAGCACATCTCCCTGAAAAAATTGCATGTTTGCATACAATAAATGACTCAGCTAAGGACACAGTCACTCATCATTGGCAATCAATGCAGTCCTTTACATAACAAAGTAACATACCAACCACCCACCCACCCAACAAAACAACAAGCTAGCTAACTAACTAACCAACCAATGAACTAACTAACTAACTAACTAACTAACTAACTAACTAACTAACTAACTAACTAACTAACTAACTAACTAACTAGCTAACTAGCTAACTAACTAACTAACTAACTAACTAACTAACTAACTAACTAACTAACTAACTAACTAACTAACTAACTAACTAACTAACTAACTAACTAACTAACTAACTAACTAACTAACTAACTAACTAACTAACTAACTAGCTAACTAGCTAACTAGCTAGCTAGCTAACTAACTAACTAACTAACTAACTAACTAACTAACTAACTAACTAACTAACTAACTAACTAACTAACTAACTAACTAACTAACTAACTAACTAACTAACTAACTAACTAACCAGCCAGCCAGCCAACCAACCAATCAACTAACCAACCAACCAACCAACCAACCACCCGCCCACCCACCCACCCAACCAACAAAACAACAAGCTAGCTAACTAACTAACCAACCAATAAACTAACTAACTAACTAACCAACCAACGAACTAAATAACCAATCAACCAAACAACCAACCTACCAACCAGCCAACCAATCACCCACCCAATCAACCAACAAAACAAATAGCTAGTTAACTGACTAGCTAACCAACTAACTAACCAACTAACTAACCAACTAACTAACTAACTAACTAACTAACTAACTAACCAACCAACCAACCAACCAACCAACCAACCAACCAACCAACCAACCAACCAACCAACCAACCAACCAACCAACCAACCAACCAACCAACCAACCAACTAACTAACTAACTAACTAACTAACTAATTAACTAACTAACTAACTAACTAACTAACTAACTAACTAACTAACTAACTAACTAACTAACTAACTAACTAACTAACTGACTAACTAACCAGCCAGCCAGCCAACCAACTAACCAACCAACCACCCGCCCACCCACCCAACCAACAAAACAACAAGCTAGCTAACTAACTAACCAACTAATAAACTAACTAACTAACTAACTAACTAACTAACTAACTAACTAACTAACTAACTAACTAACTAACTAACTAACTAACTAACTAACTAACTAACCAACCAACAAACTAAATAACCAATCAACCAACCTACCAACCAGCCAACCAATCACCCACCCAATCAACCAACAAAACAAATAGCTAGCTAACTGACTAGCCAACCAACTAACTAACCAACTAACTAACTAACTAACTAACCAACCAACCAACCAACCAACCAACCAACCAACCAACCAACCAACCAACCAACCAACCAACCAACCAACCAACCAACCAACCAACCAACCAACCAACCAACCAACCAACCAACCAACCAACCAGCCAACTAACTAACTAACTAACTAACTAACTAACTAACTAACTAACTAACTAACTAACTAACTAACTAACTAACTAACTAACTAACTAACTAACTAGCTAACTAGCTAACTAACTAACTAACTAACTAACTAACTAACTAACTAACTAACTAACTAACTAACTAACTAACTAACTAACTAACTAACTAACTAACTAACTAGCTAACACAATAAGAGCTGATTTGTATAGTTTTAAGATGAAGAAGGTGGAGCTTTACTGGGCACACCCTGGGAAGAAGCGATTAGAGAATCACTAAGCAGGCACTGAAATGAGAACAGAGGAATTGAAGACACAAGGACATCCCCCCCCCACCCCTTTCCCAGAAAAAAAATATTTGTTGAGGTTTTCAGAAATAGGTTATTGTGGGACCAAACAATACACATATCACAAAGATATACATCTGTGTACAAGTGTATAGTATAAATATGCAGGGATACAAAGTTTTGCATCAATTCACAACAGAAGTGTATACAGAAACGAACCTTGTGTACTGATTATAGGCATAAATATCCCACGCAAGAGTGCCTATCAGTACCATGTCATTTTCAGCAACTGCCATTGACATGACACGACTGTCAAACTGAAAGAAAACCAGACGTCAGTTGTAAATTATGCTGTTGAGTCTTATGGCACATTAGAAAAAAAAAGTGGTGTTGCTAATTTACAAAAATAATTTTGAAAACAATGTTTACCAGTAAGTAAGTAAAGATACCTTTTCGTGCATGTAGGGGCATAGGGCATATGGGAAGAGAACCCATATTTTTATAAACCTATCGACACTAGGGGGGTAATGTGGTCAGCATTACGCAGGTCGTCTTTACTTCCCCATGACATACATCCTGATACCCATTTTAGGCTGTGTCGACCTGTGACGCCCCGTACCATGATAAAATTCCAAGCAGCCAGCAGTGGGTTTCGATCGCGGTACGCTGGAATCACGAGTCGGACTCGCAACGCCTAAGCCACAGATGCCGCAATGTTTACCTGTAATTAATTTAAATAGTTTGCACACAAACACTACACTGCACAATTTATTGCCTGCATATTTTACTGTTGAAATTGATATTGTTGGAGAAAATGAACTAGAGACTGTTAAAACACTGACTGTCTTAAAAGAATCATCTCAGAAAATGGGACTAGTTATCAGTCTAGATAAGACAGAATACATGATAATAACTAGACAGGGAAAGGATATAAACTCCGGCCACATACAAGTCGATAATATGAAAATCAAACGAACGAAACATAAAAGTACTTTGGTGCAAACTTCAACTGCTCCAACATGCTGAGAGAAGAAATACAATCTAGAATTCAATCTGGAAATAAAGTATACTATGCCCTTCAACATCTGCTAAAGTCAAAGTGTCTGTCGCAACACCAAGATCAAAATATATAAAACGTTGATAAGACCAGTCGTTTTATATGGCTCTGAAACTTGGAGCACAACTAAAAGAGATGAAGCCTTATTACAGGTTTTCTAAAACAGAGTCTTACGACCAATCTTCGGACTCATTAAAGATGCAAACAGCAGTGAATGGAGAGTGAGAAGCAACAACAAAATTCATAATATGTTTAAATGACCACTGATCACTGGCATCATGAGAGCTAATAGACTGAAATGGTTGGGGCATATTAAAAGAATTTCAGATGACAGAGAAGTAAAAACTGTATACACAAGGGAGATGAATGGTCATAGACCACGAGGCAGACCAAGAAGACGATGGAAAGATAATATTCAATCAGACCTGCAAACATTTGGTGTCATCAACTGGAAAGAGAAGGCCAACCAGAGAGTTGAATGGAGGCAGGTGATATCTGCAGCAGTGAACCTCCAGGGCTCGGAATGCTGAAGAAGAAGATATTTCACTGTACCTCTCAAAGCCACACCAACAAATAAAACAGAATAAACACCATTGAAATACAAATAGCCTCTCTCGATACATTGTTCATATAATCACTGGAAGCTCATTGACTATAGAGGACTTCTACCGATTCAATGAACAATGAATTGAGAGAGGCCATTAGTATTTCAGTAGAATTTATTCAGCTTTTGTGCTTCTTTATGTGTTGATATAATTGTAGTAACGCACCTGAGGAGATACAGCAAGATATGCCTGAATATAAACTGTGCAATGCATTGTTTATGTCCACATTATTTAAAATTATTGTTTTTAAAAGTCTTTTTGTACTACGTAAACGCTCTGTCTATATCCCCTTGAAGTTGTTGACACAAATGGTTCTTACATTTGATCTTCATTATGACCTCATAATAATCATTCACATCCTGTTTGACAAGAAGGTCCTCTTCCTTCTCCTTTCCTCTTCCTTCTTCTTTCCTCTTCTCTCCCTTCTCCTCTCCCCTTCTCATCCTTCTCCTCCCCTCTTTTCCTTCTCCTCTCCTCTTCCTCTCCTCTTCCTCTCCTCTTCTACCTCTAATCAACACTGTCATTTTCATTTTTGCAATCATTATTATTAAACATTCTCCTCCTTTTTCATAGTCTTCTTCTTCTTCTTTTTCGCGTTCACCAGCTGTACATTCTGGCAGAAAGTTCTGGTTGCTCGTCCACTACTGAACTGCAGTCCTGCTCCAGAACCTGAGTGTTGTGTGTGCATCAGTTTTACAGATCTCATTCTCTTGAATACAGACTGTTGGTTCCTTGCCTCTCCGGCAGATGCACTCCGAATATGAAGGAAGCTCCTCAATTAGTCGACTCTTACGACATGCTTTTGGGGAGGCAGTGGGTCTATTCTTGTTTTCCCCTACAATGGGGCCCCAGATCCCACACGGGGGTTTTCATAGTCTTCTTCATCATCCTTTTCGGATCACCACTGTCCCCATCATCACCACTGCCACCACCATTATCGTTATCAAAACTACTACCGCCATCAACATTACCACCACTCCAACCACCACCACCAACTCCACTCCCTCCACTACCACTGTGATTATCAAAATCAACAGCAGCATCACCTATACTACCACCACCACCATCATCATCATCTTCATCACAGCCACCACACCATCATCGTCATCATCTTCACCACTACCATCATCATTACCAACACCATCATCACTACCACCATCAGTATCATAGCAATGTCTATGATCATCATCTACTTCGTGCTCTATGCACCACTTACCTTGATTCTGGTATCAGTCATAATCTGTGCCTGACAATCCACAATACAGATCTTGGCAAATGGAGGTTCTCCATAGGCCACCCATGCTTCCCCTGCAAGTGAGAATAGCATACTCAGTAACTGGTGAAACAGGAACAAGTATCATGAAACGTTTATTATCATCATCATCAGGTGCCTTGCCGACTGGCGTGGGCGATCATGCCTCTCCACAATCTGCGATCTCCTGCAGCATGTATCAGTTCATGTGCCGACACACCTCTATGTCATGACTGTCAAGAATCTTCTCTTGTTGTCTTCTTCTATCTCTCCTTCCACAGATCTTTCCAAAGGTCACAACATGTTCTATTTTCCCTCTTCTCATAATATGGTCTCCTTCTGATGTCTGTGATAAGTTGTCTTCGAGCTTCCGCCTCTTTCAAAACCTCTTGGTTGCTCTTTTTGGCTGTCCAAGGTATTCTTAGCATTCTTCTGTAAAACCACATCCCTGAGGCCTCTAAAAATTGTTTGGCCTGCCTACCGATTGTCCAGGATTCACATCCATATGTTAAAACTGGATGTATGTAGCAAACAAGAATTCTTTTTCTAACTCTCAATGACAAGGATATATTGCCCAAGATGTTCTTCATTTTATAAAATGCAGTTTCTTTGATACCACCATTACTTCTGTCTTCCCATTATTCAAACTGAGGCCCATTTTTCCACTTTCTAACACCACAATGTCTATCATTTCCTGTAGTTTTTTCTGACTTGTTGCTTTGATAGTATGTGTCACAGCATAATGTAAATTGTTTCATGAAAAGATATAAAAACCAAATGAAAAGTAAAAACAGTCAGCTTTACAATATCACATACACAAGCAACAAGCGAGTGTTGCTGCTAGACTGCCTTCACCAGAACACTATAAATCTTCAACATCCAAAGTACAAAAAAAGAATTTACAAAATCACTTAGCTGATTTCTGTCAGAAATAGGTTATAATTACATTAAATCAAACAGAGGATTGGAACGGGCAAACATATTTTCAACAATATCAGAAGACATTAACATTTAACTTCCCCTGGATGTGAGAACTGCACACTCAACGTTTAGTAAAATGGGGTTTAAAAAAAGTTTAGAAATAAAATGATGTTTTATGGGAAAAAAGGGGTAAGTGAAATGTCAGGCTCTTTAAGAGATACAATTCACTTATAAAAACCGTAATAGAGGGAAAGGTGGAAAGCAGATGAGCAACAGATATACATTGATGCAAGTGGGGGAATATCGTCAAAATACGGATGGCCAGTAGTCTGAGTGAGGGGGCAACAAGGGTGAGAGATCTACTGAAGACAACATGGAATCCCAGGGAAATGAAAGAGCAGACCTCATCTAGCTGATACCAAGTTGTAGCCCAGTGTCGTGGTTTTGTCGTCTCACTGATGCCAGGTTGTAGCCCAGTGTCGTGGTTTTGTCGTCTCACTGATGCCAGGTTATAGCCCAGTGTCGTGGTTTTATTGTCTCACTGATACCAGGTTGTAGCCCAGTGTCGTGGTTTTGTCGTCTCACTGATGCCAGGTTGTAGCCCAGTGTCGTGGTTTTGTCATCTCACTGATGCCAGGTTGTAGCCCAGTGTCGTGGTTTTGTCGTCTCACTGATACCAAGTTGTAGCCCAGTGTCATGGTTTTGTCGTCTCACTGATGCCAGGTTGTAACCCTGTATCATGGTTTTTCGTCTCACTGATGCCAGTGTTGTGGTTTTTCTGTATTTGTCTTGCACTTCTCAAGTGGCTTTGGTGATGTATTTGTTTAATATTTTTGCAGGTTTCTGCTACATCATTTATCCATCTATTCCTGACATTCCCCTCACCTTCCTCCCATATGTTCTGCTGCAAATTTTTTTATTATCTTTTAGGTCTGGCTACATTCTCACTAAATGGCAGAACCATTTCATTCTTTGTCAGTAACAAAATAATTCAGACAAGGTCTTATTCCTACTTTTTCCTCTAATGCTAGGATTCGTAACCATGTCCCTTTTTGTGTTGTCAGTGACTTTACAAAGATAGTACATTTCACAGGTAGTTATTTTTCTGGGTCCATTTTACGAAGTCCGGCCCCCGATGAGAGTGACCTTCCTTATCATTCATGACTTGTAAGGTCACAGAACCTCTCCTATGTTGCAGGGGCATCACGTGTTCCTTACTATCAATGTTTTAACCGCTTTTCCCGTCTCCTCATCACTGGGCTGGTTTGCGCTATTATTTTCACGTTCTGCTACCTGCGTGATGGTTTGGGAGTATTAAAACAGCGATATTTTTATATTCCTACATTCTGTGTAAGTGCTTTCTTTGCTTTGGGGAAAAGCCACCACCAATGAACGTATAAATACAAAAACATCCCAGACTCGATACCCAAGAATCATTACGCCTACGACGCTTCCCTCCCTTCAGTACTTCTTACTTGTACACAGGCGCCTGACGGCCTAGAATAGACTCACAACAACACAACCTCCCATAAACATTACAAACACCGAGTGAACGCCAAACCAAGCCAAATTATAACACCACTGAAACATAGGAGAGGTCCTAGAACCTTATAAGGCATTAATGGCAAGGGAAGTCACTCTCACCTGGGCCGGACTTCATAAATAGGACCTTTTTCTGTTATAGTGCCCTATTCATTGTCCATATTTGGCCCTGATATCATAAAGTAAAGAGCAGACTACTTAGCAACAATTGAAAGTCATACACAACAGCTAGATACAGAATGGACTTATAAGAAAAACAAAACTCAGATCAAAGCAGCCATCAGAACCCAGTGGAACACTTCCCATCCTGGACACAGTCCTACAGACCCAGCCAACCTTTTCACAGGAAAGATACTGTATACTGGACACAACAGACTCTTTAGCGATATGTACAAGAAGTTCAAGACTGGGGACTCAAGAACTGTGTCCATGGGAACAGGCAGCACAAAACACTTAACCTGTGCTACAGACACGCTCTGTGGTAGGGAAATCCCAGATTTGGTCTGTTGGCATTCCAATGGAAACCAAGTTGTATTGAACAGTGGCAGACATGTTTCACACAACATAGACTTCACAGAGTCTTTCTCATCTGAAAATTACCGGCAGGGAGATTGAAAAGAAGATGTCGACCTTAATTGTGAACATGATACCCGATTAACTGAATGAGAGATAAAGTGGCTGACTGATTGATTGATTGATTGATTGATTGATTGATTGATTGAGCTTACCTGGTCTGGTGATTACACAGCTTTCAAACCCAGTGTAGTTATCAGCATCAGCTTCCATGGCCAAGTACTAAAAGAAAATAAATGTGATTTCTATCAGAGATACACGCTAAGTGATTTTGTATATTCTTTTTTGTACTTGGGGTAGTGTAGATTCATGCATTATTATTTTTATGTAATTATAGACAAAACAAACCATTACTATTTATTATTACTTTACCAAATAACTATATCGTATACCAATGAAAAATGGCAGTGTTTGCCTTTTATCAAATAAGAATTAAGTCACCCCAAAACGTCCTGGCCAACTGGGCTCTGGGAAAGTTGTGACAGGCTTGGCAATCTGGCAACTGATTTAGTGTCTCTACTGAGAGTACAAGGATTTATAAACGAAGCTTATATCTCCTTTAATACCAGAAGCGGTATAAAAAGAAGAAAAAGGAGAAAAATAATAATAATAATGAGAAGAAGAAGCAGAAGAAGAAAAAGAAGAAAAAGAAAAAAAAGAAGAAGAAGAAAAAGAAGAAGAAGAAGAAAAATAATAATAATAATGAGAAGAAGAAGCAGAAGAAGAAAAAGAAGAAAAAGAAAAAAAAGAAGAAGAAGAAGAAGAAGAAGAAGAAGAAGAAGAAGAAGAAGAAGAAGAAAAAGAAGAAGAAGAAAAAGAAAAAGAAGAAGAAGAAGAAGAAGAAGCAGAAGAAGAAGAAGAAGAAGAAGAAGAAGAAGAAGAAGAAGAAGAAGAAGAAGAAGAAGAAGAAGAAGAAGAAGAAGAAGAAGAAAAAGAAGAAGAAGAAGAAGAAGAAGAAGAAGAAGAAGAAGTAAGCAAGTGTAATTAGGTCTACACTTACACAGTTCTCTCTCTCAACAAATGATGCCCTCTGCAAGTCCCGGAACCGATATTTCTCCTTCAGTGAGTTGAGGTAACACAATTGCTTGGTGACGATGTCCTGGCGACGGGGGAACGGCTTTAGTGTCTTGAAGGCTGTCTGGAAATGTAAACAGCAGCTGTTTATTTACAATATTTACAATCAAAAGAACTGACAGCATTTAAACAACATCTCTTCCATCAGTCTTCAGTATACTTCCTCCATGAACTCCCTCATCTAATCCTCTATCGATCATCAAAATGTGTCCTCCCTGATCTCCCTCATCTAACTTCTCCCTCAACTGTCAAAATATTTTCTCCATGATCTCCCTTATTTATCTCATCCCTCAGTCATCAACATATTTCCTCAACAATCTCCCTCACCTATCTTCTCCCTTAATCTATTCATTAAAACCATGATCTCCCTCATCTATCTCTTCCTTCAGTCATGAACATATTTCCTCCATCAACTCCCTCATCTATCTTCCTCCTTAATTATCAACATACTTCCTCCATGATCTATCTTCCTCCTTAATTATCAACATACTTCCTCCATGATCTATCTTCCTCCTTAATTATCAACATACTTCCTCCATGATCTATCTTCCTCCTTAATTATCAACATACTTCCTCCATGATCTATCTTCCTCCTTAATTATCAACATACTTCCTCCATGATCTATCTTCCTCCTTAATTATCAACATACTTCCTCCATGATCTATCTTCCTCCTTAATTATCAACATACTTCCTCCATGATCTATCTTCCTCCTTAATCATCAACATACTTCCTCCATGATCTATCTTCTTCCTTAATCATCAACATACTTCCTCCATGATCTATCTTCCTCCTTAATCATCAACATACTTCCTCCATGATCTATCTTCCTCCTTAATTATCAACATACTTCCTCCATGATCTATCTTCCTCCTTAATTATCAACATACTTCCTCCATGATCTATCTTCCTCCTTATTATCAACATACTTCCTCCATGATCTATCTTCCTCCTTAATTATCAACATACTTCCTCCATGATCTATCTTCCTCCTTAATTATCAACATACTTCCTCCATGATCTATCTTCCTCCTTAATTATCAACATACTTCCTCCATGATCTATCTTCCTCCTTAATTATCAACATACTTCCTCCATGATCTATCTTCCTCCTTAATTATCAACATACTTCCTCCATGATCTATCTTCCTCCTTAATTATCAACATACTTCCTCCATGATCTATCTTCCTCCTTAATTATCAACATACTTCCTCCATGATCTATCTTCCTCCTTAATTATCAACATACTTCCTCCATGATCTATCTTCCTCCTTAATTATCAACATACTTCCTCCATGATCTATCTTCCTCCTTAATTATCAACATACTTCCTCCATGATCTATCTTCCTCCTTAATTATCAACATACTTCCTCCATGATCTATCTTCCTCCTTAATTATCAACATACTTCCTCCATGATCTATCTTCTTCCTTAATCATCAACATACTTCCTCCATGATCTATCTTCCTCCTTAATCATCAACATACTTCCTCCATGATCTATCTTCCTCCTTAATTATCAACATACTTCCTCCATGATCTATCTTCCTCCTTAATTATCAACATACTTCCTCCATGATCTATCTTCCTCCTTAATTATCAACATACTTCCTCCATGATCTATCTTCCTCCTTAATTATCAACATACTTCCTCCATGATCTATCTTCCTCCTTAATTATCAACATACTTCCTCCATGATCTATCTTCCTCCTTAATTATCAACATACTTCCTCCATGATCTATCTTCCTCCTTAATTAAAACATACTTCCTCCATGATCTATCTTCCTCCCTAATTATCAACATACTTCCTCCATGATCTATCTTCCTCCTTAATTATCAACATACTTCCTCCATGATCTATCTTCCTCCTTAATTATCAACATACTTCCTCCATGATCTATCTTCCTCCTTAATTATCAACATACTTCCTCCATGATCTATCTTCCTCCTTAATTATCAACATACTTCCTCCATGATCTATCTTCCTCTTTAATTATCAACATACTTCCTCCATGATCTATCTTCCTCCTTAATTATCAACATATTTTCTTTAAGATCTCCCTTATCCAACCCCCTCCTGAACCATCAATATATTTTCTCCACCATCTCCCTCATCAGTCAATTTTCTCAATCATCAATATATTTCTTCCACCACCTTCCTCATCCATCTCTTCCCTTTATCACCGCGATATCCACGATCTCCCTCATCCATATCTTCCCTTTATCCTCGGTATTTTCACGATCAACTTCGTCCATCTCTTCCCTTTATCACCACTATATCCACCTACCTCATCCATCTCTTCCCTTTATCACCACTATCTCCCTCATCCATCTCTTCCCTTTATCACCACTATTTTCACGATCTCCCTCATCCATCTCTTTCCTTTATCACCACTATATCCACAATCTCCCCCGTCCATCTCTTCCCTTTATCACCACTATATCTCTTTTCTCAATCATCAATATATTTCCTCCACCACGTTCCTCATCCCTTTATCACCACTATATCCACCTCCCTCATCCATCTCTTTCCTTTATCACCACCATCTCCCACATCCATCTCTTCCCTTTATCACCACTATTTTCACGATCTCCCTCATCCATCTCTTTTCTTTATCACCACTATATCCACGATCTCCCTCATCCATCTCCTCCCTTTATCACCACTATATCTAAGATCTCCCTCATCCATCTCTTCCCTTTATCACCACTGTTTTCACAATTTCCTCATCCATCTCTTCCCTTTATCACCACTATTTTCACGATCTCCCTCATCCATCTCTTTCCTTTATCACCACTATATCCACGATCTCCCCCGTCCATCTCTTCCCTTTATCACCACTATATCTCTTTTCTCAATCATCAATATATTTCCTCCACCACGTTCCTCATCCCTTTATCACCACTATATCCACCTCCCTCATCCATCTCTTTCCTTTATCACCACCATCTCCCACATCCATCTCTTCCCTTTATCATCACTATTTTCACGATCTCCCTCATCCATCTCTTTTCTTTATCACCACTATATCCACGATCTCCCTCATCCATCTCCTCCCTTTATCACCACTATATGCAAGATCTCCCTCATCCATCTCTTTCATTTATCACCACTATTTTCACGATCTCCCTCATCCATCTCTTCCCTTTATCACCACTGTTTTCACAATTTCCTCATCCATCTCTTCCCTTTATCACCACTGTTTTCATGATCTCCCTCGTCCATCTCTTCCTTTAATCACCACTGTTTTCACGATCTTCCTCATCTATCCCTTCCCTTTATCATCACTGTTTTCACAATCTCCCTCATCCATGTCTTCCCTTTATCACCACTGTTTTCACAATCTCCCTCATCCATCTCTTCCCTTTATCAAAAATATTTTCACGATCTCCCTCATCCATCTCTTCCCTTTATCACCACTATATCTACGTTCTCCCTCATCCATCTCTTCCCTTTATCACCACTATTTTCACGATCTCCCTCATCCATCTCTTCCCTTTATCACTACTATTTTCACGATCTCCCCCATCCATCTCTTTCCTTTTTCACCACTATATCCACGATCTCCCTCATCCATCTCTTCCATTTATCACCAATATTTTCACGATCTCAGTCATCCATCTCTTCCCTTAATCAACACATTTCCTGTATCACCACCCTTTTCCATCTTCACCAATGACACCACATACACCCACCCAAATGAGACCGTCCACGTCATAGGTGATCTTGGCGCATGTCTTGAGGTGACGCATGACGCTGATGGTGTCACACTTGAGGATGATCTCCTTGCTGTGTAGGTGTAAGATCGCCAACGAAAATCGGAATAACACCTTGGGCCCTTCCAGGAGAAAGCAGTCCCAGATCCTCAACAGTGTCTGTGGAGTACGACAAAGCATTTCATTTAAAAAAAAAAAAAAACCTGAAGTGGTCGTGGCATTACCTGTTTTCCAGTGATGTAGCTGTCACGAGATCCTAAGCCCCTCAAAGTGCGTAACAACAACAACAACAAATAATAACTATAACAACAAGAACAATAACAATAATAATTCGGTCTAAGGAGAATGGCGCTGCGAGGATTTACCAGGGGATCTGGCCGACGCTCAACACTCAGGGGAAGGATGAGACGGATATACATCAGTCAGACGGTTACTGGTACCATTGGTATCGGAACTCTTCGCTTACTGCTAAAGACGGAGACTGAGCACTAATGGGAGTGTCCCGAGTGCTGTGATGTCGATTCCTTATTGAACATTTATTCAGCGATTCAAATTATTGTAAATATAATACCTTTGCAATTTAGCACATAATAATAATGATTACAATAATAATAATAATAATAATAATAATAATAATAATAATAATAATAATGATTACAATAATAATAATAATGATTACAATAATAATAATAATGATTACAATAATAATAATAATGATTACAATAATAATAATAATGATTACAATAATAATAATAATAATAATAATAATAATAATAATAATAATAATAATAATAATGATTACAATAATAATAATAATGATTACAATAATAATAATGATTACAATAATAATAATAATGATTACAATAATAATAATAATGATTACAATAATAATAATAATAATAATAATAATAATAATAATAATAATAATAATCATAATAATAATACTTATAATAATAATAATAATAAAATCAACCAGAAAGCCACCAAAACCGGCAACAGACGACTACCCCATTATGGACAGACCAGAGCAAGTTATTATTCTACGCCTTAAAACAGGACACAATCGACTTTGCACATGTACACACAATTTAAACTCAGCGAATCAGACATGTGCAAATGTGGACTGGCACCTGAGACAACAAAATCATGTCCTCCAAGACTTTCCCAAATACAACATAACAAGGCAAAACTTTTGGCCAAGAGACAAATCAAGTCAAACTTTACGGATCGCTGAGTGAATTACAAAAGACAGTGAAGTGCATACTAGAGACAACATTGCAGATAAAGATAATCTGTTTCAAGCGAACAACATAATAATAATAATAATAATAATAATAATACTAATAATAATAATAATAATAATAATAATAATAATAATAAACAGTAATAATTCACGCAGACAAGGCTTAAATCCCATAACCCCCCCCCTCCCCCGCCCAGCACATTATATGGGTCGCCCCACCCAGTGCTTTCTTCACGTCGGCGCACCTGGCTGGAGAACCCACAGCCCCCATGATCCCGCACCCTTGCCGTAGGCATGAAGGAAATCGCCTAGCCACCACGGGGACTCCCAATAGAGCAGTGGCTCTCAATCTTCCTAATTCGGCGACCCATTAATACAGTTCCCTCATGTTGTGGCGACCTCCAAACAATTATTTTCCATAATAACTTTAGTGAATATGAGTTTTCAACTCCGCTAAGACCGGTCCCAAGCCCGGCTGTAAAAGGAGGAGGGTCTGGCTGAACTTGAGTGCTTCATGCGTCTCCGGAAGTAGTGGGTAACCGTGAATCAGCCAGACGGCCTGCATGGAGGCCGCAAGGAGGCAGCCCCTCCACCATGCAAAGGCACAACAGGCCAATCACCTGTTTGCCTTAAAATATGATTACAAGTAACTACAGAGAGAAAACCGGACGGATCTTAACGGCATGGCATGGCTTACGGACTACGATTTATGGAACATGGAACATAAGAGGCATTAACGGGAAGAAAAAGGAGTTAGTAGGTGAGATGAGGAAAGCGAAATTAGGAATCTTGGCTCTGACTGAAACCAAGAAAAAGGGGCAAGGAATCACAGATCATGATGGAAGTATGCTGCTCTACAGTGGTGTCCCTATGACAGAGAGAGCTAAGGGAGGTGTTGGCTGTATTGTGGCCAGGAACCAAGTTAGTAACATCAAGGGATGGAAATTCATCTCGGAGCGAATTATGGTGTTAGATCTGAAAGAAGAAGATAAAATTATCAATATTGTTATTGTGTACGTGCCAAATGAAGATGAGCGAGTTGATGTTAAAGAAGAATTCATTGAACTGCTCCAAAGGACCATAGATGACTGTCACGATGAAATTATCCTCCTAGAAGATCTAAATACCAGAGTAGGAAATGATCACTCTACATGGGGTGGAGTGATCGGGAGATATGGTGAAGATGTTTTGAATGATAATGGCAAGCGACTTCTCAGATTCTGCAGGGAACAGAACCTTGTCATTACAAACACAAAATTTCCCCACAAGCGTATACATGCATACACAAGATGTGAACCTTCAAAGAATGAAAAATCCATCATTGACTACGCCATAGTTAGGAAAAGTTCATTCAAGTTTGTGAGAGATGCCAGAGTCATGAGAGGACCAGAGATTGGAAGTGACCACTATCTGGTCACAATGCAGAGAACAACTGAAAGAACTGCTCCAACAAGGCAACACCGACAACCATGCAAGAAACCAAGCAACCAAGAAGGGATGAGGATTAAGGCATACAGGCTAAGAGGGCCAGATATTAGGGCTATATACCAGGAGCTTATAGTGAAAGCAATAGGAACTGAAGAAGAACCATCAGAGGACACTGAAACCCTCTGGTGCAGATTCAAGAATATCCTCACAGCAGCTGCAGTAGAAGCATGTGGTGACGTCCCAAGTGGAAGGCGGGGACACAGGACACCTTGGTGGACAGAAGAAGTCAAACTGAAAATAGGAGAAAAGAAAAGGGCATGGAAGCAATACCTGGCAGCCAGGAAAACAGCTGAAGAAATAGAAAAATATAAACAATATGTGGCACTCAGAACAGAGACCAAAAATATTGTGCTTAAAGCAAAACAGAAATCATGGGAAGAGTTTGGAGAAAAGTTGGAAAAGAATGCAAGAGAAAATAAAAAAACTGCTCTACAAGACCCTCAAGAACATGAGGAAGGAGAAAGAGTGCCAACTGAAATTCATAAAAGACAAGGAAGGGGCTCTGCTTACTTCTACAGATAATATCATGGGCAGATGGAAAGAATACTTCTCAGAGCTCCTTGGCGTTGAGAGAAGTCATGACCCAGAAATAATGGACTTCACTGCTGAGAAGGAAATCATCCATGAGGATGATAGCATCAGGATGGTAGAGTTGAAGGCAGCTATTGAGAAGATTAAGATGGGAAAAGCAGCAGGTCATGATGGTATAACACCAGAGATGGTCAAATATATGGGAGTCGGAGGTGAGCGCCTTCTACTGAAGGTTCTCCAGGCAGCCTGGTGTAGCAAAAATATACCAAAAGATTGGGAGATTGCCATCATAATACCTATATTTAAAAAAGGTGATAACAGACAATGTGAAAACCACAGAGGCATATCTCTCCTCAGCGTTCCCGGTAAAAGTTACTCTAGAATTCTTGAGCAGAGACTTAGAAGTCTGGTAGAGCCACAGCTGGATGAGGCCCAATGCGGCTTCAGAGCAAACCGAAGTACTCAAGACCTTATCTTCACACTGAGACATGAGTGAAAAAGCCCTGGAATATAAGAGTGAGATGCACCTATGTTTTTTTGGATCTGGAAAAGGCATTTGACAAAGTACCCTGGAACAAGCTCTGGGGCTGCTTGGCGGGGAAAAACATTCCAGCAACCCTGATCAGTGCAATACAGAGTTTCTACAAAAGCTGCAGAAATTATGTAAGAACAGCAGACCAAAAGTCAGAAGAATTTAAGACCACCAGAGGTGTTAGACAAGGTGATATTCTCTCACCTTACCTCTACATTCTTATGATGGATGATGTCATGAAGACCTGTAAGGAGAAGACAAAGAAGTACTCAGTAGGGTCCTGGAAGATGAGACCAATATGTATATCAGAGCTGGTATTTGCAGATGATGTGGCCCTGATAGCTAAATCGTAGGCACACCTTCAGTCCAACTTACTTGTCTTGAAAGAAGAGCTTGAAAAGAGAGGGAGGACCATCAGTATCTCCAAAACTAAAACCATGGTGATCTCAAGAAAGGAGAAGAAACACCAGATCATGATGGGACAGTATGCATTGGAGCAGGTTAACCAGTTCACATACCTTGAAGTTGTATTAGATCAAAACGGAGGCATTAAGACTGAGCTGGCTACACGAAAAGCAGCTGCTGGGAGACTCTTCCAGGCCATAAACCGAGGGTTTCTTAGCAACAGAGAAATTGGCAAGAGGACGAAAATGGCTGTTTACCGCTCTACCTATGTACCAGTCCTGACCTATGGGTGTGAGTCATGGGCAATCACAACAGCTCACAGAAGCCAGCTGCAGGCCTCGGAAATGAGATATATGAGAAAGGTGGTCCAAGTGACAAGAAGGGACAAAGTTCGCAATCAGACAATACGTCAAAATCTTGATACCCAGTCCTTACAAACCCGAGTGGATCAGTCACAGTTACGATGGTTTGGACATGTATGCAGAATGGGAGAAAATCGGCCACCATGGCAGGCATGGAAGGCTAAGAACCAGGGAACCAGACCTCCAGGACGACCCAGGGTGCGCTGGGAAGACAACATCCGACAGTCCCTAACTGACAGAGGACTGGAATGGAACAAAGACAGAAAAAAAAAACTGCTGATAGAGACGTCTGGCGATCTCTCTGGCAAACCTCTACACCCCAAGGTAGAAGAGGAGCGACTAAGTAAAGTAAAGAATATGAGTTTTCTAATGGTCTTGGGCGATCTCGACAAAAGATCGCGACCGGCAGTAGGAGGTTCAATATGTCCGATAACGGGCTACTCGAAGCTTTGGAAAGTTACTTCTTTTTTCTTTTGTTTTTAATGAAAACAAAAACATCGTCACATTCAACCAGCATATCTGAAAGGGGAGCTTTAGGTTATAACTGTGACTAGGTTTATTAACGCAATATAGAATGGCTTAGCATTGTTGGCCACCA